AGTTGGATGAAGTGAATGTCATCCCACAGTCCGCTAAGGAAAGGGTGAAGAAGTTGGAGGAAGAGTTGTTCCGCATTAAGAAGGCGTCGGACGACAGTGAGTCCCAAATGTCCAGAGCCTACAGGAGGCGACTTATGGAGAGCGAGGCCGGGAGGGAACGCTTGGACCGACTCGAGAGGGACAGAGAGGAACTCACTTTTCCAATGAGTCGTAAGACCCAAACCAAAGCTCCAGATCTTCAACACCAATATCCACTCAAATTGATATCGAGGTCTACGCAAACTAATGAGGTCTCAAATAGCGATGTGTCCGTCAATACAGAAATTGACTTCAGGTTTGAATTGCATTTTACATCAATAATAATTGTATACCTTTTCTCATTATTTTTGTTATAAACTATTCTTATAAACTAAATCTAAATTTTAATAATGAATGTAATGATAGACTAATGAGTGCACTATTGGACAAGTTATTAACCGTGAAGACATCGGTCGCCGTTCAGACCGATTGGAAGAGTGATGTGATTGAGACGAGAGATGCGTCCGTTTCGACGGATCGTATATTTCGGGAGCGTTTCTCTCCTCTACCCATCACTCGGTCGATGTCCGCACAGACAGAGGTCTCGTCACTCAGATATAAAGACGAATCGGTGGCAACTGATCCACAGATTACCGGTTTGTCAAATATTTTAAACACAAATTCTACGCGAAAATTAATTTATGCCTTCATTAATAGATGTGAAATCTTATTGTAAGCTTTGATTTGATTTAATTTGCAAAACAGGAAATCAATTTGAATACTCAATGAAATTAAAGTGAATTAAGTTTTCAGATATAATAACAGAGTATAAAAATTGTATAACATTTATACAAGGGATTGAATTGAGAGGCAGAACTGTATTGACATTGTATTGACAGCACAATCACTAATTCATGTTTTGTGTTGTATTTTGTCATTTATTTCTAAAACATAATATGAATTGATATTTATTTATCGCATGTATTATAGATTTCAAGTTCAGATATAAAGGCATATAATTATGAAAAACATATAGTTTTGATTGATTTCGAAATGATTGGCTATATATGGAAAGAGTGACACCAAATATCTCATTGA